TGTGAAAAGTCAGTAAACACACACTTCCTTCCTCCCCGTCGTTTCCCCGAAAGGCACGTCCTACGGAGCAATAACTGGAACAATCCGGTATTGAGTTTATGACGTATTGTTGTATTATAAAAATTAAGGAAGAGGAAATGGAGCTCCGAGGGGTCGAAGCCCCTCTCGCTCCCGGGACTTAAGTTAACAGAAACGCGGGGTCGCTTATGACCTGAGGCGTATGTTGTAAGCCCTAGAGCGACTGATAAGAGAATCATTAAAAAGTAGCTAAAAATCATTAAATAGAAGTAAATAGTACACTGGAAGATATCCATTTACTAAAAAAAAAAAAAAAGTAGGAATAGAGGACAAAAAACAACATGAGACATTAAAGGGAAAAAAAACACCAGAAAGCAAAATGGCAGGCGTAAATCCAACTATGTCAATAATAACATCAAATGTCAACGATCAAATGGCAGAGATCGTCAGACTGGATAAAACGCAAGACCCGAATAAATTCTCTCTATAGGAGACACATTAGATTTAATGATATAAGTAAGTTGAAATCGAAAAATAAAAGGATGGAAAAATTATGCCATGCGAGCAGCAATTATAAAGGAGCCGCAGGGGCTTTGCTAACGTGAGACGACATGGACCTGTAGTAAACAGAAAAAAGTTATTAGCGGGAAAGAGGGACATTTTAGTTGAGAAAAAGGCCAATCTGTTGGGAAGATATAACAATTCTGAATGTACACATGACTCAGAACAGAGCCCCAGAACACATGCAGCGTGCCCGGAAAGAATTCAGGGAGAAATGGACGATTCGGCAATAATGGTTGGAGACGTCGGTATCTCACTTTAAATAAGGAATAGAAAAACTAAGCAGGGACTAAACAAGAGCATAAGTAAAACCTCGAACAATGCTGCAGACCAGCCGCACCTGAAGACGCCCCCCGACAACAGCGGGCTGAATTCACGTTCTCAGGTGCGCACGGAACATCCTCCAGGAGAGAGCACGTGCCGGGCCAAAAAGCCACCCTCAGTAAATTTAACCAGAGAAAGCCTGTTTGCTGACCATAATGGAGTGAATTAGAAATGAGCAACAGACAAAAGTTTGGTAAAATCACAAATATGTAGAAACTAAGCAACGTCCTAAATAATCCATAGGTCACAGAAGAAACAACACGATACGTTAGAAAACACTTTGGGATTCATTAAAATAAAAAAGCAATCTACCGAAAAAGCAGCACTTAGAAGGAAAGTTCATGCTGTCATTCCTGTGTTTTCAAAAAGAAGGAAGATCTCAGACGGATAACAGCATCTAATCACTTAGAAAAAGAGGAACAGACTCGGCCCGGGCCGGGTCCTGCGGGTCTTTCTGGTTCTGTGTTTCTTCCTTGCCAAGTCCGGAAGGTTCTAGCCTTCGACTGGACGGTTTCCTCCCACCGGGCTGTTGTGGTCAGTTACCGCTTCCGTTTTGGTTCGGGTTCTGTGGGTGCCATGTGCTTTTATTCCTCTAGTCCTCCGTACTGCTGTCTTGTGTATTAAGTGGACATTTCCCAATGTGACATAAAGTTTTGAGCAGAAAAAAAGTGAAAAAGAGAATAGAAAACAATAGAGAAAATCAACACAACCAAAAGACGGTTATGTGACACGAACAAAACTCTGACAAACCCTTAGCTAGACGGACCCAGAAAAGGAAAGACTCGAATTACTAAAATCAGGAGTGGCAGGGAAGGAAGCCTCACGACCGACCTCACAGAAACAGCAAGGCTCTGGCAGGGGGACCCCGAACCACGGTGCAGACGCTGCATCGCCCCTGTCCAAACGGTCCACAGGCGAAAGCCCGGGCCCGGGCAGGTCCCCGGCGAGCACCGGCAAACCTCTGAAAGAGTGCAGGCCGGCTCCTCGCCGACCCCTGTGGAAGAAGGGGACACCGCCCAGCGCGCCCCACGAGGCCAGCACTACCCTGTTACAAAACCAGACAGACATCGCAGACTACACGCTAGTCTCCCTGATGCGTACAGAGCAAAAGTCCTTAGCGAGATTCAGCAACATGTGAAAAGTACCGTACGCTGTGATTACGTGGGATTCTTCCAGGGGGGTGGGTGGATGGGTGGATGGATATTGATAAATGATAGATAGATAGATCATAGAAAGATGATAGATAGACAGATTGGTTGATAGGTTGTAGATGGATAGATGATGATAGATGATAGATATAGATAGATGATAGATAGGGGATAGATATAGATAAATGATAAATGATACATAACAATAGATAATAGATGATGGATGAATAGATTATAGACATAGATAGATGATAGATTATAGATAGATGATAGATAGATGATGATAGGTAGCTAGCTAGATAGATGATAGATAGATTATAGATAGATACATAGAGATCGATGATAGATGATAGATGATGATAGATGATAGATAGATTATAGATAGATAACATAGAGATCGATGATAGATGATAGATGATGATAGATATAGATGATATTGATAGATGATAGATAGAAATTGATGGTAGATGATAGATAGATGACAGATATATAGATAGATAATGGATATTGATAGATGATAGATGTTTGATAGATGATGTATATTGATACATGATAGATAATAGATGACAGATGAGCACAGAGAATTCACAGAACCCCCTTGGTTGTGACCCTTGTTCTGGAACTAACGGGGGCCCACCTCTACCACCCTGAGTGCTCATCTACCCCCTACGGCCTCCGGGCTCCGAGAGCTGGGCGAGGCTCCAGCACACCGTGGTCCAGGGACGCCTGGCCTGTCCAGGTCGGGGCTCAGGAACCAGGGCGGAGGGTCCCGGGGCGGCAGGCCGGCCAGGCCGACCAGAGCTGGAGGGTGACGCACATGTTCTCTGCAGCCCAGGCTGAGCCTGCTGACCTACGGTCCTGGGTGGGTGGGCATCAAAAGCCCCACTACCGGAGACCAGGGCGGGACTTTGGGGCCGTGCCTGACCTGGCCACGCTGCCTCTCTGGCAGAGCTGGGGCCATTGGAGACACACGAGTCCCTGTCTGCAGTGGAAGCCTTGTCCCACCTCTGTATCCCTAGGGCACCAGTGGTCCAGGACGCAGAGTGGTCGCAGGGCTGCCCCGGCGGGCAGCAGAGGGCGCCCCAGGCCCGCCAGTCTGCGAGTCCGTGGTAGAGCCGGTTTGGGGGGAAGCAGCACGGCCAGGCAGCTGTGCCAGCCCCAGGCTGGGCTAACACCTCCGGGGGGAGCAGCCGGCCCCTCGCACCCGCCGCTCCCCTCCCACGTCTACCCATCCGTCCTGTGTCCGCAGTGCCTGCCCCTGCCCCCGCCTGGTGGCCCCGTCTGGACTCCTGCGCATGGCCCCAAGCGGCTCCAGGACAGAGGCTGCCTGCACCTTGGTGGTGGCCGCTAATGTGGGGCCTGGGTTCCAAAGCCGGGCGGCCACACTCCCCTCCCACGGTCATCAAAGCCCTGTCCGACCCGTGTGCTGGTCCCTGCAGGGCCGGCGGGCTGGGCCCCAGACGCCAGGGACGCTTGTCCACTGACCCCAGTGCCTCCCACCCACCTCAGCCTCCCTCTGCTCCAAACTATGGTCAGAACCTGGCCCACTGAGCCCCCTCGTCCTCCTGCTGACCCCGGAGGGGACTTGGCCTCCCTGGGTGGGGGTCAGAGGCCCAGGCACCTCATTCTTCCCCCGTCCCTGGGGCTCCGGACCTTGCTGCCGCCTCGCCCCACAGCCCAGGCCCATGAAGCGGCATCTGAACGCCCCTTCGGGGGGTTTGAGGTGCGGTTCCCCGAGGCCGCGGTGCAGGGGGTCACTCCTCTTCCACAAGACACTCTGGTGTGAGTGGACGGTGGAGGCCACGCAGGCCCCGGGCGTGCTCCTGAGAACCAAGCGTCCACCCAGAGGACACACCTTATCCTGGGCGTGGGGCTAACGCAGGCGAATAGGAGCCACACGCCAGAGACGGGGCTCGGGTCCGGACCGCTGTCCCCACCCCTCAGCCTTGCAGGGAGCCTGGCCTGTCCCCTCCACCGGCTTCCAGCCCCTGAGCGCGTGCTGCTTCGAGGGAACAGCTCCTGGGAGCTGACGCGGGGCCTGGCCCAGCCTGACGGCGCCTGCTTTGCGGCGGTGCTGGGCCTCGGGGTCCGCCGGGCAAGATGCCAGCAGCTTCCCTGGACTGTGGCGTGGCCAGGCTGAGGGCAGAGGGTCTGAGTGGTCCTCTGCAGAGGCCGCGGTCCTGGGGGTGTCGGGGGTGAAGCGAGAGCCGCATTGGCTGGGTTCGGGCTGCAGTGCCGGGGCCACCCGAGGGAGGCACCCCCTCTTCTCCCAGATCCATCGGTCTGGGGAGCCACCCTAGGCCGGGGGCTGCTGGTCTGTGGGGCCCAGGCCCACTGCCCTCTCTCCCCTGCGGACCAGTGAGGGCAGCCCCGTGCCAGCCCCCGGAACATGGGGTCATCCAAGTAATCATGGCCAGGCCTGGCCCCCAGCCCCACCCTGGAGGGAGCTGGCGGAGGGGAGCACTCTGAGGCCTTGGCTGCTGGGCGCAGCCTGGCGGGGCTGGGGTCCATCCACTCCACGGGGCCCCAACACTGAGGGCCTCAGGGCAGAGGGCCCCTCACCCGTCTGTCTGTCTGGGCACCGAGATGCAGCACCCAGGAGCCAGGCCAGGGCCGGCTGCACCCATGGCAGCCCCTCCGCCTTGGGGACCCCCGCCCCCCACCCCCAGGGCCAGCCGCAGGAAATGACTCCTGCTCTCAGGAATGCTTGGCTGGCTGCGGAGGCCCTGCTGGGCGGCCCAGGGCCCCGCGGTAGCCTGCCTGGGAAGCCCCCTCCCCCAGGTCCCCACTGGCCTCCCGCTGGCTCCCACCCATGGCGGCCTGCCCGCTCGCTGGCTCAGGAAAGCGGCCAAGCTCCCCGCAGGCCCAGCGGCCAAGGGAATATCACTGCCAGATGTTCTGCTTTTCCACAGAACCGGAGGCCAGAGTGAGGTAACTGGAAAAGGTTAACCCATCCGGACCCGCACGGCGGCCACCTCGGCCAGGGGCAGGGCGCGGGTCCCCTGCCCAGTGGCCCCGCGGGGCTTCCCGGGCTGTCCAGGGCCCTCTGCCGGGGCCTGGCTTGTAGCCCGGCCCGCACGCCATGACCCAGGTTGCCCGGCACCGCCCGCTTCTCTGGGGGGTCCCTCGTCCCCTCCTCGTCAGGGCCTGGGCGCCCCGCCCCCGGCCTGCTCGGGGTGCAGGGTGGGTGGATGCTGGGAACTGGGGTCCGCCTGGCCCCGACGGGGCGCCTCCAGCCCACCTCGCTGAGCCTTCGATCACCCTTTTCACCCACACCTGCCCCCCAGCCCCTCCCGCCCTCCCGACACGCGCTGCCCCCCAAGGTGGCAACTCAGGGCCTCCCGACATGTCCCCCTGGCTCTGGCACGTGTGGACTTGGAGGTTCTGGTCCCCGCCCCCCAGTTCTGGCTGCTTTAGTGCTGATGGGTGTGGACTCCTGCTCAGTTAGGGCCCGAGTCCCACCTAGCGGACCTGCCTGCAGGACAATGTGAGTCAGATGCCCCCACGAGCCTGGCGTCCCCTCCTGGGCAGCCAGCCGGTCCGTGACGGGTCCACCCCGGACACCCCACCCAACCTGACCCAGCCGTGTATCTGCCACCGGCCGCTGCCCGCCCAGCTGACTCACGGTGCTGTCAGCAAAGGCAGGCTGGGGACAACCACCATGTCCCAGGTGCCTCAGCCAGGGCATCGGCCCGCACGGGGAAGCTGGCCAAGCGAGGGGCCTTCGGACACCAGGACGGAGGGAGAGGCCATCGCAGCTCAGGGCAGGGACAGGCACCTGGGACGGAGCTCGCCACCCGTGGCCTGTGCTGGGGGTGGTGGGGCGCGCGGGCCAGCCTGGCACTCGCCAGCTCCAGCGTCCAGTCACACACCATGGAAACCACAGGTGTAACCGTGGAAAACGTTATTTTCCTTGATGAATCACGTTCTAAGCTGGGCAGAAAATTCATTTGACAGTTGAGGCATCGAAAAGAAATCAAAGGTTTTGTTCAACGGACACTGAGGTTTGGGTCTTCGGTGTTTGTAAGTGAAAGTGGCTTTCCGTCGTCACCCACGCTCCAGGGACAGGCGGGGCGCGACAGAAACACTCGTGCCTCGGGGTGCGGGGCGGGCCCCTCAGATGCCCTCCGCCTCCCTGTCCTCCAGGGCCCCTCTAAGCCGTATTCTGGCCCCGCGTCACCCACCTTCTAAGCTTGGAGTCGGCCCGCCTCAGCTGTCACTGCGCCCTCCCTGAAGACACGTGACCAGAGAAAATTCCGGGCTTGTCCCCTGTCAGAGCAGGAAGGGGCACCGGCGGGGCGGTGACGGTTTGGGTACCTGTAGCAGGGGGTCCAGTGCTTCGCTGCTAAGTAAGGACAGGAGGACAGGGCCATCAGAGTGGTGTGCTGGCCAGTGGGCGCCGGGGACTGTCGCTCCGGCCGGAGACCGAGGCTCCATCCATGCCGGTCACTTCTCGCCAGAGGTGGCCTCGCCTCAGCCCTGGGCCTGCACGAGGCGGGCAGACTGGCAGAGGATGGCCGAGGAGCGGTCGGGGGGTCTGGAGCTGCCTGGAGCTGGCCAGGGCCGGGACGGCTGGTGGCTTCTGACTACACCAGCCGGCGGCCGGGGTGGGATGCGGGACAGGTCACTCAGGTAGCCCCTCTGTGTGGACGTGGTGCTGGGAGGCCACGGGACATATGGGGGTGAGCAGGAGCAGAAGCGGCGATGGGGACCCCGCCCTCGGCAGGGAGCACCCCATCCTCACCCTCTGCAGGCGGACTCGTCCTTGGCGAGGCCTGGAAGTGTCCTGGCTGCCCACAGGGCTGTCCTCGTCCAGCACAGGCCCTGCCCAGGCCGGATGTGCGTCACTCACGGGGGCTTCGCCTGGACACCGAGGGGGTGTGGTGGGAGACCCCGCCCTCACCTCCTTGCCCCTGCGACCCCCACGTCCCTCCTTAAAGGCCCTCGGTCGCAGCCCCGCTGTCCTTCCTGGAGTGGACCCTGCGTCTGTGGGACCCTGGCCCCAGGCTGGGGTGGTGGCAGCCCCTCCCCGAATCCCAGACTCAACCAGTGGCGCCTCTGGCAGAGGCTCCCTCTGGGGGCGGACAGTGGGGGCGGACACTCCTGGGGGTCCCCACACAACCCAGTGCACCCAGCCTGGCTGGAGGAGCCAGCAGGGGCCGTCCCCCGACCACACCTCACTTGCCACCACGGTTCCTTGGGAGGGGGGCGGGGGGGAGCAGGAAGCGGGGTTTGAGGAGGAAGAAGGCCCTGCCCTGGAGCTGCAGTTGGGGTGCCTGCTGCTCCACCGAGAGCAGAGAGGGGAGCGGGGCTCCAGGCTCGCTGCGGGCAGTCCCCCAGCCCTGGCCACCTGGGCTGCACCGGAGTGTCCTTTCCTGCTCTCCGTGGGGACACGGGCAGATTCCGCCACGTCCGCCCTTCCAGCTCCCACCCACGTTCGGGTTCAGGGCCCTGACAGTGAGCAGGGGGCCCCGCCCCTCCTGCCGCACCAACCTCCAGGCACCAAAGGTCAAGGGTTGTGGGAACAAGGGGGAAGCAGGGGTGCCCTCGCAGGGGCTCTGGGGGCCCCTGTGGGGAATCCAGGGTCCCAGCACCCCAAGCAGCCTGGCCCTCAGGGAGGCCTGGACCCAGGGAGAGAACGGGGAGCTGGGCTGGCATCAGGGTGCAGATCCGCTCGGGGTACCATCCGGCACACGCGTGTGTGCACACGCGGATACGTGCACGTGCGCACATGCACACGCAGGCCTGGAGGGAAGCCCCACTCTGGGCCGCATGCCCTCCAGGCACCCCTGAACCCCGGGCCCGTGGCACCCCAACACTTCCCTGAACAGCCACCTGGCATGGGCCCCGGGGCCTGGAGACAAGGGGAGGCCTCTCCTGTCACCAGCCCCACCCTTCCCACAGGTCCTCGGGGCAGCCCTGTCCCCAGACCTCCTGGACACCCCCCGGCCACCTCCTCCTCCTGCCTTCAGGGCCTGACTCCTCCCACCTGCAGAGCTCACCTGCCTGGGCTCTGCCAGTGCCACCTGCCAGTGTGGCCCCATCTGCTCCAGAGGGGCGCTTCAAACCTGCAGTAGCCCTGCTACCCCCCAAAGACCCCTGTGCTGCCCCAGCCCTGTCCCCAGGGCCACCGGGCCCTCTCACCGGCTCCCCCACACGGTCTCCTCCCTGTCTCGTGCTGCCCAGAGCAGTGGGGTATGTTTTCTGCATGAACACCGACTTCCGGTGGACTGGACTTTGGGGGGTGTGGGCGACGTGGCTCTCCGAGGAGGACCCCACACGCCTCCGGGGACAGCAGGGTCTGGAGCGTGAGGGGCCCGACAGCCCCGCCTCGCCCACGGCCCGCTGCTCGCCTGGAGTGGGGGGTCCGGGAGGCTTTTGGGTTCTTGGGTACGCTCGCGTCCCGTGCGCCATCGGAAAAGGCCTTGGACGAAGGTGCACGAGCAGGTGGCGGCGGCACGTCGGTACGAGTGCTTAAGGGAGCGAGGGAGAGACCAGGAGTTAGCTCGGCCTGGCTCCGGGCGGCGGGACCAGAGGGGGTTCGCGGACTCGTGGCGTCTGCACGGTGAGCGCGCACCTCTCCTGTCAGAGGAAATCGAAATCCGGAGTCAGCGTTGTTGAGCTCCTGCCAGTCCCGGCCACCTCAGCCCGTCCGGGGTGGCGCCCCCTGTGCAGGCCACGCGGCGTTCTGCATGGTGGGGGACGCGGAGAAGCGGCTGAGCCTGGAGGCCACCGCCTGTCCTGCCCCGAGCCAGGACTGCGCTGCCCCATCGCCCTCCCCTGCTGCGTGCGGAGCCTCCCGGCCGCGGCACCCGCAGGCCCGGCTGGGCCTCTGCGACACGCTCCCTCCGCTTCTCCCCGACCGGCAAGAGCCGCAGAGATGCCGCTGGGCGGACGGAAGGGCGCAGGCCTGGGGAGGCCGAGCCCGAGCGCGGGGGGACAGGCCCACAGCGCCGCTCAGATGGACTCAGTGGCAAGCGACGCTACCGTGCAATCAGTGTCTAAACGCCCCGCAAAGCAGGGCGGAAACGAAGAAAACGGTGCAGGAAAAATCCTGGAACCGTCACGAATTATCATTTCTGAATTTTTTCTCAAAAGTACTGAGGATGGTTACACAGGTTTTGTATGTTTCTAAATCATTTAGGCTGATATTAGACACGTGTCCTCTGCTCCAGCTCCAGGAAAGGTCTTCTGGAACCTTCTCTGGGGCAGAGGTGGGTCTGGCCACATCTGGTGCCCAGCCACTCTGGGCCTCAGCTGTATCCATATTTGTTGACTTTGTTTTCCCACAGTGAAAAATGAAACTTCTTTTCCTAGTGAGTATTTGACTAAACTCAGAAGCCCAGCAAAGCAATGGGCTGGAAACGCTCAGCCAGCAGCGCCGTCTCTTGTAGAAGGTGGTCCGCCCCGGCGCGCGGCTGCACTCCCGTCCCCCGCCCCCCGTCC